GCAGCCCACCCCTTCCTTCCTCCACCTCCCCACCCAGCTGCCCGGCCCTTCCCTTTCTCACTGAGGCTGCCCGTCCAGCGTTCCCTTTGTTTACTCCGAGCTTCCCTGGAGTGTCACGCCCTCCCCTCGAGAGGCTGCAGCCCAGGATGGCCAGGGAGGCAGCTCTGTTGAAGGGGGCCAGGCGGGTGTGGCACTTCCCTAGGCACTGGTGCGGCTGCAGTGTGTCAGATGGGTTTTAAATAGCCCTGTCTGCTCAGGCACAGGATGGGAACCGCCCCGCTGGCCTGTTGGCAGGCAGGGAACCCCAGACTCCAGCCTTCCTTCCTGAAGGTCCAGGTGCTGCTGAGCCCAGCTTCTGGCATGGCCGGGCCTGCTTAGCCTGCCTGGGCTCTGGGGGTAACGATGGGGCGGGGGGAGCCCAAGCTGGACCCCAAAGATATGCCATTGGCCCAAACAGGTGGAAGGCAGGCAGGCATTAGGCCTCCCTCAGGCTGCCTGTTTCCTTGGTTCATTCCTACCTCCTAGGGCAGTGGTCGGCAAACTCATTAGCCAACAGAGAGGCAAACTGCGGCTCGCTGTCCTAGGGGGACAGGTACACACTCTGAGTGTGTCCTGGGAAGCTTTGGGCACCTGTGGTTCTTCTTGGGGTCTTGTCCTCCCAGGTTGGACTCCACTCCCACCTCCAGCACTTGACCCCCTCCCCCCATTTTTCAGAGCAAGGTGAAGTACATCAAGCAGACCAGTGCCATCCTGCAGCAGAAGTATGGTGGGGACATCCCAGCCTCTGTGGCAGAGCTGGTGGCACTGCCAGGCGTGGGGCCTAAAATGGCGCACTTGGCCATGGCCGTGGCCTGGGGAACTGTGTCAGGCATTGGTGAGTGGCATGTGCCCATGAGGAGGGTGGGGCCAGCTCCGAGCTCTCTGACTGCTGTCAGGGTTCCCCACACCCTCTGACCGGTAACCCCAGTTCAGGTCTCCTCACCCACCACTCAGCCCAAAGGGTCAGAAAGATATTGCCAGCACCGAGCTAGGCCTGTCCCGCCTGAGATGAGCACGAATCCATCTGCTGAGCACCTACTCTGCTGGGCTCTGGGGGTGGACTCGGTGTCTGGGGATGCGATACTCATCCAAGAGCTGAAGGGTAAGGCGGGGCCAAGAGAAAGAGCAATGTTCCAGGCAGAACAGCGTCTGTTGAGCCATGAGGTGGGAGAGGACCAGAGCAGGAGGCTCTGGAATGAGTGTGGGCTATTAGGGTGATGCTGTGAAGACAGGGGAACCCAGGGAGAGGAGGGGTGGGCTAGGCCAGTGGTCGGCAAACTCATTAGTTAGCAGAGCCAAATATCAGCAGTACAATGATTAAATTTCAAACTCAAACTTCTTCTAACGCCACTTCTTCAAAATAGACTCGCCCAGGCCGTGGTATTTTGTGGAAGAGCCACACTCAAGGGGCCAAAGAGCTGCATGTGGCTCGCGAGCCACAGTTTGCTGACCACGGGGCTAGGAGGATGGGGAGGAGAGCTGGGAGCGGGGGAGCCCCTTCCTGGAATCCCTCTCCTGGGCCCGGGCCTAGCAGCCCGGCATCGGAGGACCTCTGGATGGAGACAGGATCTGGGTCAGGGTGCAGCGGCTGCTTCCTGAGGTCTTTGCCCAGAGAGTTGGGGCTTCTGAGGCCCCAGCAGCAGGCCCGGCCCGCCCAAGGCTTGACCCGTAACCTCTCCGTGCGCCCCAACCACAGTGCCTCTCTGGGCCTCCAGAGGCGGGGCTGGGACTCCCCTCAGCTTCCACAGCCTGTGTAGCCTGCCCCCTGGGTGGGGGCCCTCTTCCAGCACTGCCCACGAGGAGACAGGAGCGAGGGATGGCAGCCCGGAGAGCCAGGGCTGGGCCGAGGAGGGGGCCGGGCAGAGCCTCCCCTAGGCTTCTGAAGATGCCAGCTTCTCAGCAAACCCTGAGCTTATCTGGGCTGCCGTCCTCAGCTGCTCTTCCCCGGGAATGGTCTGGCAGGTCTGTGGGTGAAGGGCCCCCTGCCGCCGCCCTAACCGGCGTGTCAGAATGTCATCCTTTCTGGTCACCCAGGGGGAAACCCTGGGGAGAGCAGGCTCTGCCTCCCAGGGGCTTCCCCAGGAGAAGCTGCCTCATGAGAAAGCTGATCCCAGCTCTGCCTCCCCACCTGGGTGGCCTTGGGCAAGGCGCCTGGCCCCTCTGAGCTTCGGCCACAGTTGCCCTCCTGGACCAGCCCACAGGAGGCTCCCACAGAGTGGTGTGGCCCTCGGTTGGGCCTCGGGAGCACAGTCACCTCCATGTAATGGAAGGGGAAACTGAGGCACGAGGATCCAAGGGAGGAACCCTCTCCCTGGGCTTGTTAGCAGCAGGACAGAAAGCTGATACAGGGACCGGCTTTCTCCTTGACATTAGGAGGAGAGGGATGGCAGGTAGCTGGGCAAGGGGGCCTGGGTGACTGGGTGCCCAGGCTGGGCCCTGGGGTGGCTGTGCAGGGGAGCAGGGGCTGCAGCTGGCCTGGCTGGGCTGCCCCCTCTGTTCCTTACAAGTGCTGGCTCTGCAGGCAGTAGCCTCCTGCTGGCACCACAGCCAGCGGAAGAGGCACTGCTCCCTGCACCCCACATGAGGGCCCACGCCCTCCGGTACCTGGCTGCAGCCCCTGCCCAGCAGCAGTGGTGGCCTGGTGACCCACCCTCACGTCTGGCCATTGCTGTGTAGTTAGGGGCCCTCAGAGCTCTGGGTGGGAAGCCAGGGCCACTCACCAACCTGGGCTCATGGGTGGGACCACGGGCAAGAACGGGGTGTGTGGACCTGCCCCACACTCACCCCACCCTGTCTCCAAGCAGCAGTGGACACACACGTGCACAGAATCGCCAACCGACTCCGGTGGACCAGGAAGGCGACCAAGTCCCCGGAGCAGACCCGTACAGCCCTGGAGGACTGGCTGCCCAGGTGCTGCTGCAGGGAGGGTGGGCTCCCCTTTGGCTTCCCTCCTCTCTCTCTCTCTCTCTCTCTCTCTCTCTCTCTCTCGCTCTGCATTAACCCTCTCCCCCCCACAGGGACCTGTGGCATGAGGTTAACGGACTGTTGGTGGGCTTTGGCCAGCAGATCTGTCTGCCTGTGCGCCCTCGATGCCAGACCTGCCTCAACCAGACCCTGTGCCCATCTGCCCAGGGACTCTGAAGCCCTGAGCGCAGCTGCACGGGACTCTGAGGGCCACGTCTATTTTGCAACTTTGTGGGGGAGCTGTTCCTAATAAAGTTTGGGGTTTTGTAACAGTTGGGATCTGTCTGACTCCTGCCCCAGGGAGGCCAGCATGTGGACGTGACAGCCTGGGCTGTGGACGTGGGGGTGGGCGCAGGAGCTCCGGCTGGAGAGATGGATCATGGGAGCCAGCCGGGGCCAGCTGTGGAGAAGCTGCTGGTGACGCTGGAGGCCTGGGCTTCCTCCCTCCCTCAGCTGCTGGCGGAGGGCCCAGAAACACCCCTCTCCTGAACTCACCCTGAGAGCCTGCCGCTGCCGGAGGCCCTGTCCCCAGTGCTCACCGAGCCACCTGGCCTCTAAGAACACCGGGAAGCCAGGCTGGGTGCCACGGGGCACGAGGCCTGACCTTTACCTGCTGGGGGCTGTATGAAGGCAGGGGTGCCAGGGGCCCAGAAAGCATCACAGAGGAGGTGCTGGCAAGGCAGCTGGGCCTCACCAGGAAGAGGAGGTGAGCAAGGGCCTCGGGTGAGAGGAGGGCAGGGCTCCAAGGGAAGGGATCCCAAGTCCGGTGAGGGCAGGGGGAGAGGGAAGCAAGAGCTGAGAAGAGTTGGGACTTGGCTTCGAGGTGGATGGATTCAGAGAGAGGAGGTTTAAGAATGAGACCTGTTGCTCAGTGGTTAGAGCAGCGACCCGCAGACCAATGGGCTGTGGGTTTGATTCCCAGTCAAGGCCATGTACCTCAGTTGCAGGTTCCCCAGGCGGTAGGGGCCTGTGCAGGAGGCAACCAATCAATGTGTCTCTCTCCCCCTCCTCCCTCCCTTCTACTCTAGAAGTCAGTGGGGAAAAAATATCCTCGGGTCAGGATTAAAAACAAAGTACGAGACCTGTTTCCAGCAGCTGAGATTCAGGGCTGGGGCTGCTGGGCTGCTACCTTCCTGCGTCCCCCGCCCCCCGAGGAAGCACAGAGGCAGCCAGGGTGTGAGGAAGGCGGGTTTATTCCGAGGGCGCCGATGCGCTATGGCTTGCAGGGCAGACAGCAATGTCGGCGGGTTTCAGGGCAGAGTCTGTGGGGTCTGCGGGGGGGAGGGTGCCAGGCAGGGGCCAAGCCCAGAGCCTGGAGTCACCCCTGGGGTGGGCTCTCCCCCGGCCACACTCCCCGAGCCTGGGGGCCGTGGCAGAGGAGCAAGGGGCCTGTCCGGAGCCTGCCCTCTTCCGGGGCAGGAGGCCTCCATCCTCAGGCCCCTCCGAGAGCCCAGACCTGCCTCCCGGGCCCCCGGTGTGGTGGGGACCTGGGGGACCTGGCCTGGTGAACCCCCACAGCAGAGAAGGCAGAGACGAGGCTGGGGGAAGCTTCTGTCGCCACATCTGGCCCCCAGCCTCACCTGAAGCCCCTCCATCAGCCTGCCCACTACCGCAGCCCAGGAAGCTGCCGGGGCTCCCACCGGCACGGCTGCCGCCAAGAAGGAAGGGTGGGGAGGAAATGGTCTGTAGAGAAAGGTTTGTTTTATTGCGATTATTTAGAGAACATGTCCTGGCGGGGGCGGGGCTCTGGTATTAAGTGAAAACATGTGTGGAGCTGGAGCTCCTTTTGGAAAAAAAAGCAAAACCACAAATTCCTTTAAGTCAGCAGGCCCCGGCAGAGCGGCAGAGCCCGGCCCCGGGTCACGCCGCTCCTCCCTCAGCGTCTCACACCGGGGCTCCCTCTCCCCGGCCTGGCTGCCGCGCGCCCCCAGCACCCACGAGGACGGCAGGGGGCCAGGACAGGGACTCACTGGGCTCGGGTTGGTTCCTGGGTGGCGGTGGGACCACCACGGCTTCTGGGGGTGGCGGCGGCACCTCCTCCAGTCCACTGAGGCGCGGGAGCTCTGGTCCGAGGAGGGAGCCCGAGGTCCGTGCAGGGAGGAGGCCCGGGTCCAGCGCGCAGGCGGCGAGGGGCTCAGAAGTTGCTGAAGATCTCACGCTTCTGGTTCCAGTCCATCTGCGGGGCCCGCTTGTTGATCCTGGTGGCTTTCGCCTTCTCCTTGGCCTCAGCCGCCGTGGGGCTCAGCTGGAGGCCGCCCTCCTGGAAAGGGTCGTGCTTCCAGCCGCTGCGGCCCTGGGGCGGGGCGGGCAGGCAGCCAGGGTGAGCCCGGCCCGGGCCCCCACACCGATAACCTTTCCGGGGAGCTCACGCCTGAGGCCGCCGGGCGGGGCTGAGGTAGCGAGCCCAGGAGGGCTTCCTGGAGGCAGTGGCCCCACTGCCCCGGTGCAAAGCTCCATTCATACCCACCCCGAAGGCCTCTCTGGCCCCCCCAGAGTGTGAGCACGGCAGAGGAAGTGGATGGACATTTGCTACCTCACTGTCCTCGTCTAAGCCAGGCAGATCACTTCGGGATAAACTCACTGAGCCACCATTGAGCTGGGAAACCAAGGGCAAGGTGTGGTAGCTTCAGAGGCCCTGCCCTGTCCTGTCACTAGCGCGCACACATCCACACACACTCACACACAGACACGCACACACGCACACGCACACACACACATGCACACACAGACACAGAGCTGCATTTATCCCTCCATTCGGCAGTGGGCACCGAGCCTCTGCTGTGCTCCAGGCTTAGTGTAGGTAGGACACTGGGCACTAAAGGGTGCACAGGCAGGCGGCCCTGGCCAATGCACAACGGGGAGGAGCTATTTTGATGCATGAATCACCCCCATGCGCGGTACCTGGGGCGAAGCCAGGGAAGCTCCCTGAGGAGAGACGGACTCTCCAGGTAGCCAGACCGCGCTGGGCAGAGGGAACAGCCAGGGCAGTAGCCCCGGGGCCGAGTGCCGTGTGGGGCTGGGGTGTGGCCGGCCCAGGACAGGATCCACAGAGGGCGTTACAGCCGGGAGTGTCCGGCCAGATTGGGCGTCACAACCTCACATACACAAGGACAAATGTGGGGGAGCTCTGTCAGGCTTGGGGACCCCTAGAGGGGTCACTCCAGTGTCCTGGACCCACCAGCCCACCCCACCCATCCTCTCACCTGGGCAGGGCTGGTCCCATTGGTGACAGGGGATGGCAGTGGACCTGTGGGGGGACAGTGTGTCAAGGGCTGCCCAGCCCCCGCGCTCCCCCTCCCACCCGGGACCCCCGGGGCAGCACCCACCGTCCACGTGCTCCTCCGTGGGCGTCACCCGCAGCCTCTTGAAGTGCTCGTCCGTTTCCGGGTCCACCACCAGCAGCCGGGCCTCATCCTCTCGCGCCTTGATGCTGGCAACCACCTCGGCGTGGCGCAGTCCCTCCACGTTCTGCCCGTTCACCTGCCGCCGGCAGCACAGGGCAGCCTGAGGGCGGGCCCCCACCAGCCCCCCAGCCGCCCGGCCAGGTGTGGCATCAAATATTCATCGATGTTGTCACCAGCCACGGCAGCAGGAGGAATGCCAGCTCAAGTTCCCAGAAAGTCCCCTCCTCCCAGGGAGGACCTGGGGCCCGCACACACACAGGGGACACGGGCACAGACATGCACACACATGGGGGACACGGGCACAGACATGCACACACATGGGGGACACGGGCACAGACATACACACAGGGGACACGGGCACAGACATGCACACACATGGGGACACGGGCACAGACGTGCAAACAGACAGGGGACATGGGCACAGACATGCACACACATGGGGGACACAGGCACAGATGTGCACATGGAGGACATGGGCATACACATGCACACAGGGGACACAGGCACAGACATGCACACAGGGGACACGGTACAGGCATGCACACACATTGGGGACATGGGCACAGACATGCACACACACAAGGGACACAGGCACAGACATGCACACAGGGGACACGGGCACAGACATGCACACACATGGGGGACACGGGCACAGACACGCACACGGGGGACACCGGCATAGACATGTACACACACAGGGGACACGGGCACAGACGTGCACACGAGGGACAAGGGCACAGACATGCACACGGGGGACACGGGCACAGACATGCACACACATGGGGGACACGGGCACAGACACGCACACGGGGGACACGGGCACAGACACGCACACGGGGGACACGGGCACAGACATGCATACAGGGACGCAGGCACAGACACGCACACGGGGGACACCGGCATAGACATGTACACACACAGGGGACACGGGCACAGACGAACACAGGCACCAGCCCCCCCAAAGCCTTGGGGGTGGGTACCTCAATAAGTCGATCCTGGGCACGGAGGCCGGAGTGGGCAGCCGGCGAGCCCACGTCCACTGAGCGAATGTACTGTCCTGGCCGGGACTTGTCGCTGTGCAGGTTGAAGCCATAGCCCTGAGGGCCCTTTCGAAGGTGGCAGAGCCTCGGGCGGAGCTCCCTCGGGGGCCCATTGACCTCCTGCAGGGACACGGGACAACCTTCCGCTCCGGTCTCCCTCCCCAGAGGCCACTGACACCCCCAAAGCCCCTGCCCCCCTCCGCGCCCCCCCCCCCCCCCGTGTGCGGCACAGCAGTGTGCTGGGCTGGGCATCTGGCCCTGCACAGTGGCAGAGACAAACACCGCACGCCCACACCCGGTGGGGGGTGGCATGAGGCTGCCTGTGACTGAGCTCCAGCTGCAAAGTCTCAGTTCCCAAACCCCAAAATGACCCGACAGGGCCAGGGGCCTTAGGGACGATGGGAGAGTGAAGAGGCCAGGGCAGCACTGAGCTCAGGCCAGCGTCCTAGGAGAGGCCAGGAGAGACCCGCTGCCACTCAGCTCAGTGTCCCAGTTCTCCAAACAAGCACATGTTCGCAAACATGCTACACAGACACACCAGGCCGTCCTCACGGGCCCTGCCTGCAGCCCCCTCCCCCACTCCCCCTGCGAGTGCAGGGCTCGCAGAGTCCTCAGCTCTCGGCAGTTTTGTTTTCTCTCCCACAGGCTGGTGGCAGTGCGACTGTGTTTGCTTTCACATTCCAGAGCAAGCTGGAGCCACCCTCACCTCCACCCTACCCCCTCCTCGCCCAGAGACGGAGGATGACCGGCTGGGCTGCAGCGGCAGGAGCCCAGGGACAGGCCCGAGGCGGGGCCTGCCCTGCGCCCTCCCTGCTGAGACCCAGGGGCCTGTGGTGCCGAGGGTCCCCCACCGACATCCCAGGGCCCTGCCTCGCTTTACCTCTGGCATCCTGCAGGAGGGCTGTGGCCAGGCCCCAGCACCCCCACCCCGTGGGGCCCGGGGCCGTCAGGGACCACAGTGCCGAGTGGCCAGCGGCGACCAGCGCTCAATTAAACATGGCGGTGGCCGGAGTGAGCGGGCAGGCGGCGGCTCAGGTTTCCCCGGATGCTCGGGCTCCAGGGCGGGTGCCGGTGAAAGGGTGCTCACCGGGCCCCTCCCTTAAGGGTGCAGGGGGGACCCTGGGTCAGGCTGGGCGGTGACCCTCAGGGAAGGTCTCCAGGCCTTGGGTACCTCCTCCCCTACAGCCCCGCCCACCCCCTGGGCCATTCCGGCCTCCGGGCCTGCAACCTGACTCCAAACCCCAAATCTGACCGTGAATGCTCTGGCTTGCCAGTTGGTGGCCACCCAGCTGTGGGAGCAAAAGTGTCGTTCCTGCAGGCACTGCCTGCCTGTCAGGCGCACCCTCTTCCTGTCCAGCCTGTGCCCTTCCTCCAAGACCCCTTCCCTGACCCCCAGAGACTGCCTAGAGCCCCCTGGGGACCCCCACTGCAGGCCAGGGACAAAGCTGCTGCTCCTCAGCGCCCCGGGGCCTCAGCTGGGCAACAGGGTCTGAACTGGAGGGTGGGAGACTCACAGACACACCTCGAGGTGCAAGTGTGCAGCTCTGAGGAGGGCCCACGCCTCCCCAGAGGCGCCTCTAAGTCCAGGCCGCTGAGCACGGGCCCCCCAAGGCTGGCTGGGACAGAGTAGGGCCGGGGCCAGGGCCAAGCTTGGAGCCTGGACGTGGGACATGACCGTGCCTGGAGTGTGGGCACGGGCCCAGGCAGCAGGGGCACAGCCCACGGTCAAAGAGACCAGACACCCAAACACATGTTCGCCAACACGCTATACAGTCACATAAGGCCGCCCACACCTGTGAAAGGAGGGCCCCGTGCTGTGGGGCCCTGTGGCCTCTTCCTACACCCCCCACATGAACCTCCAGGGAGGGATCTGTCAAGGCCCCCAAAAGTAATTGGGAGGGGGCACAGATTTGGGGGCATCCCGGGCCAGAAGGCCAATCTGAAGTCACATCTGGGTTCAACACCATACCGGCCATCCCTACCTCAATCCAGCACAGCTGCCTCTCAGCACTCAGCCAGGAGTTTTCTCCGAATGTCTAGCTCTAACCTCTCTCCTAATGAGAGACCAGGGCCCACGGAGCCCCAAACCTGGCACTGGACGCACACCCAGGGGCTGCAGTGCCATGACCTGGCAGGGGAGCCCCGCGGGAGAGCAGCCACAGTGGGTCTGGAGGGGGCGCAGGCGGCCGCGCATTGCTCGCATTCCTCACTCCCAGCCCTGGCTCAGAGCACTTCCTGCCCTCTCCCAGCCAGGCCCTCAGGCTCCCACGGCTCCCACGGCTCCCAGCAGGGCCGCCCCAGAACTGGACAAGCCCTGGCCTCCCAGCTGTGCCTGTAACCAGACAAAGAGGCTGGCCTGGGGGTACCCCAGGAGCCAGGCTGTGCCCCCCCCCCCCCAGATGGTGACTCACCAGCACTGGCTGAGAAAAGCCCCATTGTTCAGGGTCCAGCGTGCTCACAGCAGGGTCCCCTCTCCTAACCCTGGGGGACACAGGCTAAACGGGCTGCTGGGGTCCTCACTGCCCCCCCGCCCCCACCACCCCTAACCTGCACAAGCCCCTGGGCTGGGCTCGCTGGAGGGGCTCCTGAGACCTGGGCGGGCGGCGTGGAGTTCCAGGAGTGGGCCATGGAGGCGGGATGGAAGTGGCCGACGGTGAGCATCCAGCCGGCGTGGCCTGAGCTCTCTGGCTGGCCCGGGCTGCCACCCCGTTTATCTACCTCCCACTGCGGCCCAGGCTCCCCAGGGACAGGTGGGGACAGGGGGCTGAGTCACTCTGGGGAACAGGGTGGTGGCGGAGCCCCCCTCCCTGATTCAGGCTCCAGCCAGGCCCCACCCCCCCACTGACTAGGTTTCCGTCCCGTCCCGAGAAGGGAAGGAAGTTGCTGAAAAGCCCTGCCCAGCTCCCTGGACTCACGGCTGGGGAGACAGGGAGGTAAGAGAAGAGCCCGACCCAGAACAGGAGACAGTCCTGCTGCAGCTCCGGGCGGAGGCAGGAGCGAGGAGCCCTCTTGTAGGACACGGTCCCCTGCCGAGCAGCCACCACTCACTCACGCTCAGCCCCCAAGGGCCTCCAAACCAGAGGGTGGGGCCCAGAAATCCTGCGAGGACGAGGAGGGCCAGGGTCTACCAGTGCCCCCACCTGGCACCACTGGTTGCTGGTTGCCCTGGCTTTTGGGGGGCTGTCCCCTCTCATCACTATCGGGATTGGCTGCACGGAAGATGCAGCCACCCCAGCCACGTCTGGCCTGGGACCGAGTCACCACTGACAAGGCCCCGACAGCCCCCGACAGCCCCCATTAGTGTCCTCCCCGGCTCCGGCTCTCCTCCCCGCCCCAGGACAGGAGGTAACCGGCTGACAGGGTATCCGTGGCCCTCCAGGGCCCTGCCTCCAGCTCAGCCCTCACCTCCCAGGGCACGAGGGGTGGGTGGGCCCTTCATCCTGCACCGAAGCAAACCCCACACTTCCCCTCACCCCCTGAGAGCAGAGCCCACAGCCCCACCCACACCCCCAGGCCCGGCGCCTCCTTCTGAGGACCCGAGTTCAGCCAACAAAAGTGGGGTCTCCATCCTCCGGCCACAGAGGAACCTGCCGGTCAGCCCCCTCGGCTCCTCTAAAAATACACGCGGAGGAAGCCCCCTCCCAGGCTTCCTGCAGCCCCAGCGCCTGAAATAGCAGCGGGGAAGGCTCCACCCGGGGACTAGGTGGGCCACCCCATCCTGGAGATAAGGCTGAGGGAGAACTTTTTCCACAGGAAGGTGAACTCAGCCGTTTGTGTCCGAGTCAATGGACAAACGTCTGGAAGGAGGGGCACTTCCTGGGGGTGGCGTGCGAGCATGCCCTCCCAGGACCCCCCCGCAATCACACATCTGACCCTAACACCCCCTAGTCCAGCGTCCGCTGGCCCCAGGTCAAAATGCAAACTGCAGGGCCTGGCACCATACGCCCGAGACAGCCCTCCCCTCCAGCCCGCCCAGGGGGTCTCTGTCCCTGAGCACACATACCCCTTTGGAACAAAAAGGCCCCGGGCACAGGGTCAGGCAGGCGCGGGGATCCTGTGCACACCCAGAAACTTCAGCTCTCACACCCCCACTGGGCTTAGGCCAGTGGTCTTCAAAGTGGGATCTGGGGAACCCCTGGCCTTGAATCTCCTAAAGGGACTGATTTTTTCTTAAAAAATAAAAACGGGCCGGGACCGGGTTGGCTCAGTGGATAGAGCGTCAGCCTGGGGCCTGAAAGGTCCCGGGTTCGATTCCAGTCTAGGGCATGTACCTTGGTTGTGGGCATATCCCCAGTGGAGGGTGTGCAAGAGGCAGCTGATCGATGACTCTCTCATCGATGTTTCTAACTCTCTACCCCTCTCTCTTCCTCTCTGTGAAAAATCAATAAAATATATTTTAAAAAATAAATAAAAGAAATAAAAACGGGAGAGAGGACATGAGAGACACTCACATGGGGTTTCCAGGAGGGAGGACTAGCAGCCCCAGGCTCTTCCTCCCAGTGTCCGGATGCTTCCCAGACAGGGTCACCGCGCCCCGCTCCCCCACCCTCACCCCCCACACCCCAGGCCCAGAAACCTAGAAGGAGGTGAATTCTTTCCCAGCTCTTCCCGCCTGAGGACGGGAGAGGGCAGGGAGAAGAGGGGGGTGCCCAGCCTCTAAACCATCAGATGAGGACTCGGCTTAGAGAGGAGACTGCTCTGGTGCCCCCAACCCCCTCCCCCAAGGCCGTCACAGAACAACCAGGTGCCCGGAGACAGACACAAGGACAGAGCCGGACGGAGAAACACCAGACGCAGGCTCAGAGCTGGGCTCATAGTCCCAGGGCATCCGAGCAGCCCCTCCCCTGGTTGGTTTTTTAGCCCCTCCACGGGAGGGGGCCTTGTCAGAGGGGCCCCGACCTGGACCAGGCAGCTCTGAGCATCCTGGAAGAGGGCAGGGGGGCGAACGGCCAGGCTGCCCGCATCCTACCCAGCTGACACAGACAGAGGACAGCCAAGAGGGGCGGCACCAGGGGCAAAGAAGGGCCCTCAGAGGCAGAAGGGACTGAGACAGTGCCTTCTGGAGGGAACCGGAAACAGAGACTGCCCTTGAGAGGCCAAGATGGGGCTGGGAGAAGCCAGGGTGGTCCCTGTGGGCAGAGCCTTACCATACCTTCTGGCCATCCGTGGAGCCAAGGCTGCCTGCGCGTGTCCAGCCCGGCTTGGGCTCCCAGGGGTCATGGGCGGGCGGAAGCCCGCGCTGGGCCATCTCCTCGGTGCAGGTCAGCTGCCGCCGGCGCAGCTCCTCGTCCGTCTCCTTGTCCACCACCAGCAGCCGGGTCTGCCCTTCCACGGCCTTGATCCTCTGGACCACCTGGGACAGGCAGGTGGCGGTGGGTCAGCAGCCAGCTCTCCGGGCGGCACATGGACAGTGGCACCACCCAAGGCTGGCCCGGGCTGACCCACTAGGGGTGGGTGGGTGGCTGGACCAAGAGGCCTGCCGGCTCCACCCCCCACCCCCGGCCTCAGCTGCTCCCTCCCTCCTCTCCCGGGGCTCCGGACAGGAGGGCCCAGGCGACAAGGGCCTCAGTGTGGTCCCAGGCCGTGCCTCAGCCCAGGGTCCCTCCAGGAGGGGTGGGAAGCTGGGTGAGGCAACTGTGCAGGCGTGTGTCTATCTGTGTCGGTCTGTCCTCCGTCTGGGTTTCAGAGAGAGGCATCTCCCTGGGTGTCAGTCTGGGCGTGTCAGTGCCCATTTCTGTTTTTCTCAGCGGTGGAGCACGGAAGTCTAAATCCCAGCTTCTAGGCCCTCTCTTTGCTCCAGACCACGAGCACAGATCCATTCCCGCTGGACCTGCAGGCAAGGCACGGCTCAGGCACCACACAGGATGCTGTGAGCAGGATTCAGACCCAGCAGGCAGAGGTGTGAAGGGGCTCTGTGTGGTATGTGGCCCACCTGTGTGTCTGTGCGGGCCTGTGTGTCCAGAGCATGCGGTGTCCATGGGGCACGCAGGCCAGTGTAAGCTTTGCGGGGAGAGGGTGCACTGCGCAACCCCATCCCCACCCCAAGGCCTGGGGAGGGCAGACGGGGCTCCCACCAGCTGCCTGGCAGAAGCTGTCAGCAGGGAGGAGGGCTGAACCGGACCCGTGTTTCCCTCCCCTCCTCTCTCCCCATGAGCACCCTGCTGCTGCCCAGCTGTGGTACCGGAGTCACTCGACATCTCCAGGCATCAGCTTTCTCATCTGTAGGATGGGAGCTATAACTGCATGTCCTCCTTCCCGGGAATGTGTGGAGTTCTAAATTGTTTTAAATTTTCTTAAAATTCATTTTCAGAGAGAGAGGGAAAGGGAGAGAGAGAGACATCAATTGGTTGCCTCCCGCACGCACCCCCACCCGGGATCAAGCCCACAACCTGGGCACATGCCCTGAGCAGGAACAGAACCAGCGACCTTTCAGTGCAACCAACTGAGCCACACCAGCCAGGGCTGAAGTACTTATTTTTTATTTTATTTGAGAGAGAGGAGAGAGATTTTTTTTTATCTCTGCTACCCAGCCAGGGCTTGTGAAGTTGTTAGACCAGCACCCAGAAGCCTGGGGCAAGCAGGGGCAAGGGTGCAGTTGACTGTTCAACAGAGATCAGGTGCCACCTTTGCCAGCCTCTCCCTGTGGTCTGTTAAGCCAAGCCCTCTAGCCCTGACCCCCACCTTCCTTCAGCAAACAGCCTTATCAGGTTGACATTCTGGGCGGAAGACAGGACAGCAGACAGATGGATAGACAAGGGCCCGGGAGCTCAGCTCCCGTCCCAGCCAAGGACCAATATGTTCATCTCTAGCCCCCAGGGCCGGGCACCCAAACGGATCATGGATGCCGAGGTGCAGGGGGGACACGGAGGAGCCTGTACACAAGCTAGGTGGGTCCCCGGCCATGGGAGATGGCCACCCTCGGGAGTCAGAGCCTGCAGAGAGGGACCCTGCCCCCCTCCGGCCTGCATCTCCAGCTGCAGGAGGCGGGGGCTGCGGCCGGTGACACCTGCAGGGCCAGGCAGCCTCCAAGGAGAGGAATGTGCTGTCACCAGCAGTGATTCCCGCTGGGATCCAGGCACCATCGGCCCAACACACCCACGAGTGCCCTGGCTGCCAACACACACTGACGACTCCACACAGCCAAGCGGGTCAGCCTGCAGGCCCGGACACACACACACACACACACAGTGCAGCTCACACACATGTCCAACACACATCACAGCTCACATACACATGTCCAAGCAAACAGACCTGTCCACGCACACACACACACACACACACACACACACACCTAGGTGCAGACCTGTCGTATATCCACATGCACACACTCCAGTCCATACACATGCACTGATGCAGGCACACACAGGTGTGCCCCCTTACTGTGACACTTCCTGGGTCCACGTACTCGTAGATAGTTGTCTGCCCACATGGGGGATCCTCTGAGAAACCTGCACCCGCACACTCACACTCGGATGAGTGTACAAGCTTGTTGTACACAAGTTGCCCGTCCCCTATGGTCCACCCAGGCCAGCACAAGCCCAAAGATCCAGACCGCAGTGCGGGGCCCTCCCTGCCAGGATTCCCCTTCCGAGGTGCAGGACTGCTGAGCTTAGGGGGTGGGGGCCTGGGAAGGAGGCCGGCGGCCACGGCCTCCGTGGCCCCGTCGCCCACTTCCTCCGGCGGGGATGGGGGGGCAGCAGGCCCCGGGGAGACCCCCTCCTGGCCGGGCGCAGGGAGCGGAGGCCTGGGCGCGCGCCGGTGGCCCCGGGTACCTCCAGGGTCGCGCTCCCGGGGAGGGGCCCCGGCCGGCCGGGACGGGGCGCGGGCACCCACCTGGTGGTGCGTTTCGCCCTCCACGTTGACGCCGTTGACCTCGACCAGGCGGTCCCCGGCGCGCAGCTCGGCCGCCTCGGCCGGGGAGCCGGGCTCCACGCGCCGGATGAACTGCCCGCGCCGGCCCTTCTCGCCGTGCAGGTGGAAGCCGTAGCCCTGCTCGCCCCGCACCAGGCGGCACAGGCGCGGCCGCAGCGGCTCCGGGGTGGCCATGGCGCTGCTCTCCGCCGCGGGCCGGGGCTGGCCTGGGCGCTCCCAGCCCGGGCGGCAGGCGGGGGGCGCGGGCGGCTCGGAGGCGACGGCGGCCGGCGGCGCTGGGGACCCGGCGTTGGCTTCCGCGCCTCCCGATCGGCTCCCTCCCGTCGCCTCGGGCTGGGGCCGGAGCTCGGGCTGCGACACCGCCCCCGCACCGCCCCTTCCCCGCCCCCTCCGCCCCCGCCCTGGGCCCAAGCCATCCTGGCCTCGCCCCTATCTCGGCGCCCTGCCAGGCCTGGGGAGCCCGGGGGAAGGCTGGCTGCAGGAACGGGGGGTTCAGAATCCCCGGGAACCCCGCTGCCTCGCTCCCACTGCGGACAGCCTCCTTGGCGCCAGCGCCTTTGCCTTCTGTTCCAGGCGCATTTATTGAGCACCTACTGCATGCAGGGCACTGCACCAAGATAGGGAGGTGGGAGAGGGATGGAGAAGGCTCCTAGGGCCCAAGGAGTCCCACACAGGAGACAAAGGGTAACAACAAGGGTCACAGCTCTGCCCACCCTCCTTGGGAAGCACCCTGAGCACCGATGCCCGTGAATCTGGGCCCTCCCGTGCCCACAGCTGCCCTGGCCCAGCGCAGTCCAGGCAAGAGGAGAGGTTTGGAAGTGCCATGACGGCCTCCCTATCTACGGAGGCCAGTACCTGAGTGACTGCCTGGCCCTCCCCAGGAGTGTGTGCCCTGATCTGTGCCGTGTGTGTGTTGACTCGGATGCATTCCCAGCATCCTCTCCCTGTGCCAGGACCTCGGCCCGTTGTCGGTGGCCGAACAGGTGGGGTGAGGAAGTACCCTTGTCTGGCTGCGGCGAGAAGGTCTGGGTCTTTGCTGCCCCCTCCCCATCCTGGCCTGGGATATAAGGTGCCGAGGACTTGGGTGTCTGAGCCCTGGCCGTGGTCAGCACCCACAGGAGCTGTGTTCATTCGTAGGGACCAGTGAAGCTCCCCCAGTCCTCCCCGCCTCCATCCTCACTCTCCCCAGCCTCTGCCTCCTCCCAGAAGGAGTGCCCCCTTCTGCCAACCTAACAACAATGGTCACAGTGGAGAATCGTTGCCTCTGAGTGCATGTTACCTGGAGCCTCCCTGCACGGCCCAGGCCATTTTACAGGCCAGGACTGAGGTCGGAAAAGGAAGCGTCTCAGGCCGGGTTCCCCAGCTCCTCTTGAGCCGAGGGTTCAGAGATCCCGAGTCCACACTCTTCACAGCTTCAGATACTGGAAGACAACTGGCTCCCCCTCCTCCGGGGACCCCTCCCCAGCACATACCTGGTCCCCAGGAGTCAGGCACAGCCGGCCCGCACAGCTCCCCATGGGGCAGGAGCAGGCTCCTCGCAGGGCCAGTCCTGCTGCTCCTCCGGCCCTCAGCCCGGGTCCCGCTCCCACCCAAGCTCGGCCCGCCTCTGGGCAGCCTCCTGGCCAAAGCCCCTTGGGTGTCCACACCCCAGCTGCTGCCCATAAAAGCCACTTAGGCCAAACCTTCATGGCTACTCCCCACCCCCACCCCGGCTCTGAGCTCCTGGCTGATGCAGCCACAGGCTCCCATCCGGCTGGTTCCCACCTCCATTTGTCTGTTTGCCTGCTCAGAGGTTGTCTGTCTGGCCGCTGACTGGTTTCCCTGTACTCAACCTAGTGCTGCTGCGTCAGGAGGCGGTGAGGATCCGGGTGGGCAGTGCAGTCTACCATATACCACCCCAAGGGGTTACCCCAGAGCAATGGGGACCATCCAAGACCTGACAGTCTGTAGCTTTGGGGCCACGTCAGAGCTGAAGGAGGGGGCCCAACGGGAGACCCCCGGACAGGGTCCCTGGGTCAGAAGGCTCAGGGACAGAAGTTCCTGATCAGCCTTGGGCCTTCTTTTACCTCCCACAGCAAAGGACTCGGCCTGCAAGGGAAGGCGGATGGGGAACAGCCCCGCTGGAGGGAGGGGGGACAGGGCATGTGGTCACAGCCAGGGCCCAGGCACAGATGCTGGATCCAAGAGTAACAAAGGAGGCCCCAAAGCCGGAAAACGCAAGGGAGGGTAACAAGAGCAAGGAAGGGGGTGGGTAACAAAGGAAGTGGTTAACAACAATAAATAAAGGCGCAGGGAGGGTCTGTGCAGGTAAAAATTCCAAACGGAGGACAGGAATGAGGGAGAGAGAGCAGGGTGGGAGTGGAGGGCCTCAAGTAAAACAACCAGCAGCTCTCCTGGGCAAACTCTTCCCCAAGTTTCCTGCAGCCTGAGCCTCGGGCGCTGTGATGAAGGCAAGGAGAGACGCAGAACAGGCAAAGGCAGAGGCCCAGGAGCGTGGCCGAAAGGTGCCCAGCAGCTGTGCGCTGTTTGGGGTCTCTGGGGAAGGAAGAGGGGAGGGGGGCGGAGAGGCGGGCAGCAGGCGGAAGGAAGTCAGGTTGGAGGTGGTCTGGGCGGTCCCCTCCCCCACGTCCTCCCCCTCTCCCGCCCCCTAGCTACGGGGACTTTGCGATGGAGGGCCAGGAGACCTTGCGGTCCGCCCTGGGCAAGGAGGGGCCTTTCCTCCGAGCTGGGAGTCCAGCTCCCCGCTGCAGCACCCCGGCGATGGGCGGAGCCTGGGCCGGGGCGGTGACTCCCATGGGGTGTGGCAGTGGGGAGAGGCCTGGTCACAGGCAGAGGATGGGTTCGTGCCTCTGGGGGGAGGAGGTGCGGGGGGGGGGGGCGGGGGGAGAGGGAGGAATGGCCGGGAGTGTCTTACGCCTGTGCAATGGCCCAGAGCTTCCTCGCCGGCGCCGCCTCCCTCCCTAATGGCAGTGATGGCCCCGCGGGATAACTGGGACCTCAGGCTTAGGGCTCCCCCGCAGACCACGCCTGGCCTCTCTTCCGAGCCCAAAACTGAGCAGCGGGACCAGAGTGACGGGAAGAAATTGGGACGAGACCGACGGAGAGAGAGAAGGGGAGAACCTGGAGTGCCAAGGAGGGCGGTGGTGCGGGAAGCCCACCGAGGACGCCGGACCGCCGTGCCCGCCCACCCCGCAGGGTCCTGCCGGGGACTCACCCCAGGCGCCCGGCCGCTGGAGGCGCGCAGCGGGCTGGAGCCCAGAGCGCAGCCGCGCAGCGCCACCTGCCGGCCGTGCGTGGGACTGCGTGGCCCGAAGGGCCGCCCCAGGCTCCGCCCCTCTGACGCCCACAGGGTCCAGCTCTGTGAAGCGAGGAGGCTGCTTGCAATACAGGGACTGAGAGGTGCCATGTGAGTGGTAGGCAGAGAAGCGTAGACTCTGCAGAGCCCCGAATGGGCTCTACTCCCTCACCTTACCTAGCACCAACCTCTCTGGGCTGGGATACCTCAGGCAACAGGAAATCTGGCCTTCCACCAAGTGCTCCGGCACTTGTGACCAAATATTTGCTGACCACTAGATGCCAAGCACGCTGAGCACTGGGGAAACATCCCTGAGACCCATGGCAACGGGGATTTGTGTGCACGGCAAGGGGAGGCGAGGCCCAGGGCTGGGGAAGCCCCAGGGAGGGGCATTGAACCAGCCTGGAGCGGGGGAGTCTTTCAGGGTGGCCCACGGGGTTGTGTCTGGAACCTGCCCAGAGTCTGCAGGCTGTGTGGGGAGGGGAGGGAGCATTGAGAGTGGGGGACTGGTCCAGCCCTGTGGCCCAGACCCAGAGATGGATTTCACCCCACCAATGGTGGGGAGCCGTTTTAATGTGTACTGGGTGTGACGAGGTCAGTAAGCCCATGGTTTGAAAGAGCAAGTTCAAGGAGGAACAGGGGCAGGAGTGGGCTCAGAGAGGGGACCTGAGAGGCCTGGATCCATCCCTTCTGCCAGTGTGGATCCTGAGGCAAAAACAAGCAAACAAACAAACAAATACAAACACCAACTGAGTGGAATCAGTGGAGTTAAAATGGGCGCCCACATTAGGGGATCACGTGCAGAGGATGCATCCAGAAGATGAGGAGGAATCGCCAGTGAGGAGAGAGGAGGGCTTCCAGAGGCCAAAGGGGCAGTGTGGGGGCTGGTTCCACACGGGCATCCCAAAGCCAGATCATCACCGACCGCCGCTCCTCCAGTCTTCGCTGGGTGTCCCGAGGGGAGACCCTGCAGAAGGGCCCCGAGGGCAAGCAGCAGGGAGCACAGTGGCCAGCGAGGTGCTGTGAGGGCCAGGGCAGTCCTGGGAGTCCGAACCCACACTGAAGAGGAGTTGAAGAGAAAGTGGGGGGGGGGGGGGGCGGGCAGATACTTGGGAAGGAGGAGCTGGAAGGGACCAGGTAGAGGAAGTCTTGGCCATCCAGGGTGGCAGGCACATTGCCGAGGGGGGCTGGAGCCAATAGCGGAACGCAGAGGGGAATAAGAGGCGAGGGTCCTTGAGGAGGCCAGGGGACTCAGTGGTGGGGCTCCTTCTCCCTCGGGGGAGAGCAAGGCTGTTAAAAGGGCAGGGTTCCCACTTTCTCTCCAGAAGCCTTCTGCTGAGAGGAGGGAGGGGTTCCTAGGAAATCCAGGTTTGGAAGGAATGCTGGAAGATAGGGAAAGGTTGGGTGGGCTGCCAGGTCTTGAGACTCCACCTCTTTGGGAAAGATAATCTCCCCAACCTGGCCAGGGGGCAGAGAGAGGGAAGCTGAGGGCGGGGTGAGGGGGGGGCGCCCCATCTCAGTGGGTGAGGTATGAGCGCCTGCTTTCCTCACACCTTAGTGAGTGACGGCAGGATCCCAGGGTCTGACTTACCCCCCCAGGGCAGACCCCTCCCTTCCTGAGGACCCCAGGGCCTGGCCTGATGACACCCCCCACCACCTCTGAAACAGGAGGGGCACACTGGCAGAGAAGGGAGAAGGGAACCCAGGCCCAGGTTGTGTTTCTGTGTCTCTCCCCTTCCATCCTTCTTGGACATACAGATCCAGGCATGGGGGTGGGGGTGGGGGCGCCGGGCGGGAATGGGGGGTATCAGATTCTACTGGGCAGCGAGAAAGCTCCTGACATTTTCCAGGGCGTGGGCATGGCTCTTTGCACCCCAAAGCTAGATGGCAAAGTACACATAGCACAGGAAAAGGGTCACATGCAAGGGGCAGGAACCAGGCAAGTTTGTGGTTTTTTAAAAATATTTTATTGATTTTTTTACAGAGAGGAAGGGAGAGGGATAGAGAGTTAGAAACATCGATGAGGGGGGTGGGGGATTGGAATGGGGGGA